AGCATATGGGCGCCTAGCAAACCTCAGAACAGCATTCCGACATCTTAATAAGGATTCTTTCAGGACCCTGTACACCGTGTACGTTAGGCCCATATTGGAGTATGCGGCACCAGTTTGGAACCCACACCTAACCAAGCACGTAAAGAAACTAGAGAAAGTGCAAAGGTTTGCAACAAGACTAGTCCCAGAGCTAAGGGATATGTCCTACAAGGAGAGGCTAAAGGAAATCGACCTAACGACACTGGAGGACAGGAGAGGTAGGGGGACATGATAACGACATACAAAATACTGAGAGGAATTGACAAGGTGGACAAAGACAGATTGTTCCAAAGATGGGACACAAGAAGGGGAACAGTTGGAAGTTGTGCAAGAATGGTATATAATACCGATAAGATGAAATTAAGACACATGTGTAACATCTGGGTATCTTTATTGTAGACGTTTCGCCATCCAGTGGCTTTATCAATACAAATTCTAGGACATAACTTGAAGACAGTAGGACTATATACAGAAGATGAGGTAATCAGTCCCTCAACCTTGGAGTAGGTGCGAAGAGCACCGTAGTCGTGGAGATTCTGAAGCAGAAGCAAGGCGCCTGACGCTTATATACTAACGCCAGGTGTAGCAGACGAGGGCATAGTCACTGGCAGGCGGGATTTCCCAGTGGAAGTAGGTCCTTCCCAAAGAGATGGGTTAGTTGTAGTAGTAGTTGTCGTAGTCGTGAAGGTTATGTACATGTCCTCAGAATCAAGATTCCCTTTGATTTTTGCATGTCTGACAAGTTGTGCAAGAATGGTATATGCCCTCGTGGCTCTTCGCACCTACTCCAAGGTTGAGGGACTGATTACCTCATCTTCTGTATAGAGTCCTACAGTCTTCAAGTTATGTCCTAGAATTTGTATTGATAAAGCCACTGGATGGCGAAACGTCTACAATAAAGATACCCAGATGTTGCATATGTGTCTTAATTTCATTCAGTTGGAAGTTGACGACACAGATGAATCACAGAAATGTTAGGAAGGTTTCTTCAGCCAGAGAGTAGTCAGGAAGTGGAATAGTTTGGGAAGATATGTAGTGGAGGCAGGATCCATACATAGCTTTAAGCAGATGTATGATAAAGCTCGCGGTTCAGGGAGAGTGACCTAGTAGCGACCAGTGAAGAGGCAGGGCCAGGAGCTAGGACTCGACCCTTGCAACCTCAACTAGGTGAGTACAACTAGGTGAGTACAGTTTCACACAAGATATTAGTGCGGAAGCTGGAGGACCAGGCAGGGATAACAGGGAAGGCACCACAGTGAGTCAGGAAATACCTGTCAGGAAGACAGCAGCGAGTCATGGTACGTGGTGAGGTGTCAGAGTGGGAGCTGGTAACGAGCAGGGTACCACAGGGATCAGTCCGGGGACCGGTGCTGTTTCTGGTATTTGTGAACGACATAATGGAAGGAATAGACCCTGAAGAGTCCCTGTTTGCAGATGATGTGAAGTTGATGAGAAGAATTCAATCAGACGAAGAGGGATCTCGACAGACTGCAGGCCTGGTCCAAAAACTGGCTCCTGGAGTTCAACCCCACCAAGCGCAAAGTCATGAAGATTGGGGAAGAGCAAAGAAGACCACAGACGGAGTACAGTCTAGGTGGCCAGAGCTTACAAACCTCACTCAAGGAAAAACATCTTGGTGTGAGTATAACACCGGGAACATCTCCTGAGGCACACATCAACCAAATAACTGCTGCAGCATACGGGCACCTGGCAACCCTACGAACAGCATTCCGACATCTAAATAAGGAGTCATTCAAGACCCTGTACACTGTGTACGTTAGGCCCATATTAGAATATGCAGGGCCAGTTTGGAACCCTCACCTAGCCAAGCATGTAAGGAAACTAGAAAAAGTGCAAAGACTAGTACAAGACTAGTCCCGGAGCTATGTCCTACGAGAAGAGGTTAAAGGAAATCGATCTGACTACACTGGAAGACAACAGAGTTAGGGGGGGGGATATGATGATGACATATAAAATACTGAGAGGTATAGACAAGGTGGACGGAGACAGGATGTTGGAGAAATGGGACACAGTAGCAAGGGGGTCACAGTTGGAAGCTGAAGACTCAGATGAACCACAGGGATGTTAGGAAGTATTTCTTCAGTCACAGAGTTGTCAGGAAGTGGAATAGCCTGGGCAGTCATGTAGTGGAGGCAGGATCCATACATAGCTTTAAGAAGAGGTATGATAAAGCTCACGGAGCGGGAATAGTTACCGGGAAGCGGCCAGTTGAAGATGCGGGGCCAGGAGCTGTGAATCGACCCCCGCAACCACAACTACATGAGAACTAGGTGAGTACACACACACACACACACACACACACACACACACACACAACACACACACACACACACACACACACACACACACACACACACACACACACACACACTCACACTCACACTCACACACACACACACACACACACACACACACACACGCACACACACACACACACAACAACAACAACCGAGGAGGAGGTGCAGAAGCTGCTAAGTGACCTTGATACCTCAAAGGCGATGGGACCGGACATCTCCCCGTGGGTCCTTAGAGAAGGCGCAGAGATGCTGTGCATGCCCCTAACCACAATCTTCAACACATCCCTTGAAACTGGGCAACTACCAGAGATATGGAAGATGGCAAATGTAGTCCCCATATTTAAGACAGGAGACAGAAACGAGGCACTAAACTAAAGACCTGTGTCTCTGACATGTATAGTATGCAAAGTCATGGAGAAGATTATCAGGAGGAGAGTGGTGGAACACCTGGAACGGAACAAAATTATAAATCAAAACCAGCATGGATTCATGGAAAGTAAACCCTGTGTCACAAACCTTTTGGAGTTTTATGACAAGGTAACAGAAGTAAGACACGAGAGAGAGGGGTGGGTTGATTGCATTTTCCTGGACTGCAGGAAGGCCTTTGACACAGTTCCTCACAAGAGATTAGTGCAGAAGCTGGAGGATCAGATGCATATAACAGGAAGGGCACTGCAATGGATCAGGGAATACCTGACAGGGAGGCAACAACGAGTCATGGTACGTGAAGAGGTATCACAGTGGGCGCCTGTGACGAGCGGGGTCCCACAAGGGTCAGTTCTAGGACCAGTGCTATTTTTGATATATGCGAACGACATGATGGAAGGAATAGACTCTGAAGTGTTCCTATTTGCAGATGATGTGAAGTTGTGAGAGGAATTAAATCGGATGAGGATGAGGCAGGACTGCAAAGAGACCTGGACAGGCTGGACATGTGGTCCAGAAACTGCTTCTCGAATTCAACCCTGCCAAATGCAAAGTCATGAAGATTGGGGAGGGGCAAGACAGAGTATATGCTAGGTGGACAAAGACTACAGACCTCACACAGGGAGAAAGATCTTGGGGTGACTATAACACCGAGCACGTCACCGGAGGCACACATCAACCAAATAACTGCTGCAGCATATGGGCACCTGGCAAACCTGAGAATAGCATTCTGATACCTTAATAAGGAATCGTTCAAGACACTCTACACTGTGTATGTTAGGCCCATACTGGAGTATGCAGCACCAGTCTGGAACCCACACCTGGTCAAGCACGTCAAGAAGTTAAAGAAAGTACAAAGGTTTGCAACAAGGCTAGTCCCAGAGCTCAGGGGAATGTCGTACGAGGAAAGGTTGAGGGAAATCGGACTGACGACACTGGAGGACAGAAGAGTCAGGGAAGACATGATAACGACATACAAGATACTGCGGGAATAGACAAGGTGGACAGAGACAGGATGTTCCAGAGAGGGGACACAGAAACAAGGGGTCACAACTGGAAGCTGAAGACTCAGACGAGTCACAGGGACGTTAGGACGTTAGTCATAGAGTCGTCAGGAAGTGGAATAGCCTAGCAAGTGAAGTAGTGGAGGCAGGAACCATACATAGTTTTAAGAAGAGGTATGACAAAGCTCAGGAAGCAAGAGGGAGAAGACCTAGTAGCGATCAGTGAAGAGGCGGGGCCAGGAGCTGAGTCTCGACCCCTGCAACCACAATTAGGTGAGTATCATTAGGTGAGTACTCACATAACACACACATGTTCACACCTACGTATTCCCACATATACAGACCCACACACTCTCTTCACCTGCACCCTTCCCTCACCTCTTTCCCCCTTCCTTCCTTGATCCCCTGCCTCTCATTTCTCCACTGTCTCCTGCTTCCTCCTCTCTCTCCCGCCCCCCCACACACACACTCTGAGAAACAAGCACACATACACAAAGACACTCGAACACCAACTGAAAAAGCACATCGTTATTGTTTTCTGGGGGCTCTGGTAGCCTGGTGGTTAAAGCTCTCGCTTCACACGGCGAGGGCCTGGGTTCGATTCCCAGCCAGAGTAGAAATTCCAGCTAGCGCGGCCGTGACGAACTCTAGCTCAAGTCCCCTCAAAGCCGTAACATGACTCACGAAATCGTAATGACACGATTGCAAACCCGCGATCAGAGTCTCAAAATTTTGAGACTCTCTGATCGCGGGTTCTATCCCCAACCGTGGTATGGTTTGTTTGCAATCGTGTCATTACGATTTCGTGAGTCATGTTAACGGCTTTGAGGGGACTTGAGCTAGAGTTCGTCACGGCCACGATAGCTGGAGATTCGTCTGTAAAAACTTGCATCAGAGTAGAAACATTGGGCGTGTTTCTTTCCACCTGTTGTCTATGTTCCCCATCAGTAAAATGAGTACCTGGGTGTTAGTGGACTGGTGTGGGTCGCATCCTGGGACACTGACCTAATTTGCCCGAAATATTCATCATAACAAGGGGCTTTCTATAATAGTAGTACGTCATCTAGGCCTGTATACCATGTGCATGTACTTGTAGTAAATATAGATATTATTATTATTATTATTATTATTATTATTATTATTATTATTATTATTATTATTATTATTATTATTATTATTATTATTATGATTGTATATTGGAGTCACGTTACAGGTTGGTCGTTGGGTGAGCGTGTGAAAGAAGCGGTGCTCGTGGCGAAGCAGTGGGAACAGCCGCAGCTGAGCGTCACTATCATTGGTGGTAAAGACGCTGCCCCAGGAGAGTTCCCACACCAGGTACGTATTACTTCGGCAGAGCATTGACACGTTGACCTGAATGCCACATGCACACTGACATGTTGCGACTGAATGATGCAACATGTGCACTTCTCTTTGAAAGTAGATGTGCTTCTCTGCACTTCTCCAGATCTCATAATCGGCATATTCCTGTCATACGTTTTACCATGTTCACATTCTTGCAGCATCTTATATACCAAAAAGCATTTGCCTTCTCCACTCCGATCTTACACGCTCTCACATAACTGGTTGATGCCATACACTTTTTTTCAAAACTAGTTTTGATATTTCATGCTTTACATTTTTTGTATCCATCCTAGATATATACTCCCTTTTGAGTATCCTTATTTTCTTCCAAATTTTGTAAATAACAGATTCATCTCAACAACCCTTCTTCCACTCTCTGAATTACCTAATTAATTATCAGACCACTACATTTTCGTCAAATCTATTCACAGTATTCCTGCAAATATTCATACCCTATTGATCTAAGCCACGACCTCTCTATTGCCTCCAACTACCACCTTCATGCAAAACAGTGTAGGCAGCATACTACACTGATACATTTTCCCTTCTGTATCAACTGACAGATATTTTTATCAGACACCCTAACATTACTGCCATTTCCTTCTCTCATCTATTCTTTGATCTGTTATATCTTTCACAGACTTCTAAACCTACGCATCTACTGATAAATATTTAAGAATACTCACTACCTCACTACCGTCTGACTTGCAAACTTTCATTCTTTTAGCTTCTACATTACCTTGCTCTTGCATGCGTTTCCTTTACATAATTTGTATTAGTGATATTTAAATATGATTAACATGTAGAACTGAAAAATACATGAATTAAAAGAAACGGGGGGAAACGCATACTCTTCGGAAGCATTTAAAACAACACTGGTCAGATACATGGATAATAATCTTCAGTATTGATAAGCATGAAACACTGTACTTTGGATACATGAGCATGAAATCCTATCTGAGATAAAAGAATATTAATGTTAAACAAAATGATTTTAGCCAAAACAAAAAATAACACAAAATCACTTTTCAGATCTTGATTCGGTTACATTCTTACTTTTTGCTCTCAAATCACATAAATGATAAAAAAAAAGCAAAAGGACACAAGTGCAACTAATGTTGCACTTGTGTCCTTTTACTTTACATATTGTCGGAAATTCTACCAACTTTATTGTGATAAAAAAAAACAGAAAGGGAACGGCAACAAATTTCATTTCAAAAAGTAATTAATCCGATTTCCTTTAAGAAATAAAAACTTAGGCACATATTTAAATGTTTAAGGATATTAACAATTCTGATTAAAAAAACACTGAAGAACTATTAAGAGATCAAAGGAACAATGAACTCTTTCGCAAGAAATGCAACACAAGCTCGGATACAAGATTATTTGCCAATAGATTCTCAGAACACTAACAAACACTTCGTTCCAGTCTTTTCAACACATACACAATACTCTCAAGTACGATCTCCTTAACTAGTTGTCTTTGTAAAACTTTTGAAAGAATGATGCTTAACAGACTGTACTACAGAATCAGACACCAACTTTCCCCCTACCTCTATGGGTTCATGAAAGGTAAAAGTGTGCAGAACTGTATTTCCACCTTTCTCACTGCACACACCTCTACTAGTTTTACCACTTTTCTTGATCTAAAATCTGCATTTGATATTGCGAACAGAACCGTTATACTACATGAACTAGCCAAAATGAATATTGGTGGTAGCTTACTCTGCTGGATAATAGGATACCTGTCAAATAGAGTATCCTCTGTCCTTTACCAAGGCTTCAGAAGTGATTCTAAAGAAATGTCTTTAGGTACACCGCAGGGAGGAGTTCTTAGTCCCATGCTATTTAATATTCTGATTAATGCTCCTAAATGCTCTACCTGCCTCACCTAAACATATAGCTATAAGCTATGCTGATGATATCATGATCCATACAACAGGGCATAAGAAGATGAATACCATTCTTAATGAAGTTCAAGCAATTTGTAATCGACTAGGCCTCATAATATCTTCCTCTAAAACTAAGATATTAACAAGCAAACGACATCCCCCAGCCATCTATTTGCAGGGTGAAATCATTAGCTACGTTAAAACTTACAGATATCTTGGTGTAGATGTACCCTTTAACAAATCCACTATACCACAACTAAACAAGAAATGTAAAGCTAGGCTAAATGCTCTCAAAGCTGTTGCTGGCTACAATCCCAACTATGGTGCAAATGTGAGAATCGTGAGAATGATGTACATAGTCTATGTTAGGTCCTTAATTGATTATGCTGCTCCCATGTTGATATTAGCTAGAGAAAGTTCTCTCCTACCCTTGGAGTTAATGCAAAATGAAGCTCTCAGGATTATTCTTGGCTGTCCCAGATCTACAAAAGTTCTTAACATGAGGAAGGAGCTTGGTATTTCTAGTATCAGTGATAGGATTGTTGAAATTAACACTGTACTCGGTATTAGAATGTTGAGAAACGAACCAGACACTGTCACAGTGAATCTTACCAAGTGTCTAGAGGTAAATACACACAGATCTAAATGGATTGTGAAAACGTGCAATTGCATTAAGTTTTATAACCTGCATGAACTGTATCACTGTAGGCAACAAGAGCATTTCACCCCTCCATGGAAGATGTGTTCATTTAATATCACATACCTACAAGTCCCTCCCAAGAAGCTCATTGCTAGTAATCCCTTCCTTAAATCTCTTGTTAGAGCAACTGCTCAGAAGAAATTTCTCACCTAGCTGGTAGTAACAAGTTATCACAAGTTATATACACTGATGGATCTAAACAGGAGTCTTCTGGCAGGGCTGCATCTGCTCTTGTTGCCACCTCCCTAGTTAAGAACGATAATAAATTTGTTGAGTTAGGCATAAGAATTAACAACTGGGCGTTTACACTGCAAACTGAATTGTTTGCAATCCTAATGGCGCTAAAGCTAACCTATGACACTGAGCTTGACTCTATCGTCATTACTGATTCTATGTCATCATTGAAGGCTCTTGGCTCATATAATGACTCCAACAACATGCTCATTGGGGAAGCCAGGTATAGATACTCAAAAATTAGGGACAAAGGAATTAATGTACAATTGCTATGGATCCCATCACACATTGGATTACTCCTTCATGATAAAGTTGATATGTTAGCCAAGAAGAGTATCGAGAAGGAGAATGTAGAATATAACTTTGGTATAACTGTGTCTAGCATTAGGAATAATATTAGGAGAGAAGTAAATAATGAAAATGATTGTTATAGGAATGCAGTTAGAAGCCTGAGTAGATCTATAACCCACTATGATAACATGAACGTAGATAAGTATGTTTATGGAGCAACTTGCAATGTGAACAGACTGACTGATGTTGTAGTGGCCAGGCTTAGGCTTGGTTACAAGTACTTCTGGCAGTTTGGGAGACACACAGATGATGATCAAACTAAATGTAAATTATGTGATCAGGCATATGGTCACTCTCTTGAACACTATGTGCTTAATTATCCACTTATTGAGGAATACAGAGACAGACAGTATAATAACCTATGTGACATGTCAAGATATCTTATTAATGAAAATAAGATACCAGATATACTAAGCAAATTTCCTAAATTTGCTTGTAACAGATAAGTGAACTATAGATATGTAGATATAAATCCATATGTATTCCTGTTAACCCTTTGGGGCCTAGTTCCTAGGCCTTTTGTGTATCCATATGCTCTCGCGCTACCGTCCACAGGATGGATATGGAGTGCACAATAAACTAGCCACTTCGGTGGCAAAATCTAAAAAATCTAATCTCAAGTACAGTTAGACAAGTACATTTTCTTACTATTATTCTGTCAAATTTTTTTTATGCAGTTATAATTACAATATGAAACCTAACTGTAAATTTTCTTCAGACCTTAAACACAGAAACTCGTATTAGGTTTGTAGATATGGTGTTAGGTTGCACATAGCAACCACTTATGTACCACTCACATTCACAATGCAGAACAATAGTGTGTTATTGCTCTGCAATATGAGTGTGAACATGAAACCTAATAAGTGCTAGGAGTCCTTCTCTCTTTCTGTCTCATGAACACTTCTATTTGCTGTGTATATTAATTACTGCTATGTTTATATACAAATGTTATTTCTGGAATAATATTAATGTTATTATATTATTGTTAATATCGTAATTATTATTTTTATTATTACTGCTACTATTATTATTATTATTATTATTATTATTATTATTATTATTATTATTATTATTATTATTATTATTATTGTTATTATCTTATATAATAATAAAAACATAATAACACTGTTAATAAAATAATAATAATAATAATAATAATAATAATAATAATAATAATAATAATAATAATAATAATATATATTATTATTATTATTATTATTATTATTATTATTATTTTCTAGATGCGATAAACCTGCCTTTACAGCATAAGTAAAGGGCTAAACCCGAAGAGGTTATACAACGCCAGGGAAAATGACAGACAGTCAGATTCGTTGCAGAGAAAAGACGCAGTTCCAGTTCTTGAGACCAAGTGTTTCAAACCCTTGAAAGGAGTAATGGTCAAAGTCCGTGAAACTGGGAGTCGGGATGAGAGAAGAATTCGGGTTTCATTCGAGAAAACTGAAATAAGTGCTCCAGTTCCTTTAATTAAAAGGATTAACGTATAAAACAGAAATAATAGCATTAACATGTTTCGTAATATTGAGTCAGGAAGTAGTCATCTACTGGTTCAAGTTACTTATATTTATATACAATAAATTTCCAATACGATCATTTTTAGGAGAATGTTGTATGACAAAGTAGACTAGAACTGCAATATAATGTACAAAACTACTGCTTCTTCTAACTCCTTGTGCCTTGTTTCAGGTCTCTGTGCAAAAGAACGGGCTATTTGGACCACTGCACATCTGTGGTGGAACCATTGTTTCTGACCAATACGTTCTAACGGCTGCTCACTGCGTCGTCGAGTAGGTGTTGTTATTGTTGCAGGTGTTGCAAGTAGTGGTCGGGGTAGTGGTAGTGGTTTAGTGGGGTAGAAGCAGTGGTAGTGATGTGGTAGTGGTGATGGGGAAGTGGTACTAGTAATGGTGTGGCAGTAAATGTGTTGGTATTAAACATACCTGAATAAGTCTTGGGTCTTGTCTCTTACCTATTGCTTTGGAAATCTTTTCTATTATTTTAAATCATTTAATTAAACTTCGTCACTGCCTCAACACACTTTAAAGTCGTACTTGGCTCATATGAACTTCTAATTTCTATGTCTATCTCTTCATCATGTTGTTCCTCCCTAAATCTTTTCATTTATTTATTTTTTTTCTGTATTTAAGTTGCGATTATGAGTCCATAAGTTTAGTTCTCACCAAGCTTCATATCCACATTTACCCGAAGACTCATCATGTAATTTACCTTTAAACTTATCTTTGTATTATTTATACCTCATGTATTTCTTTCGTTGCTGACAGTGAAATTTATCCCCGTATTGCACGACCCCAGGATATTTACGTCATTGCAATCGGAGAGTTAGTGAAGAGTGCGACATAAATTCTAATGCAGTTAAGTTTTGAGGATTTGAATCAAATCCTCAAAGAAACAAAAACTTTGCTCCCAAACTCAAAAGGAATTCTCTTCTTACTTCAGAGGGACCAATATTTTAAAATACACCAGCACATTAAGTTTAAAGCCGCTCTAAAGTAACATTATCAAGTGATCAGCGCTGAAAGATGAATGAAGACCGTTAGATGAGGCACTCAGAAATTACCTCACAAAAATCAATATTTCAATTTTATCACTTATTTCTATTCATAAAAAGCAAGTTGAGATCAACACAGGTCAAAATCAATCCCAACGTTACTTTAAGATTTACCAGCGTTAAGTAATTCAGTCTTATTCAGTGAGTATTATGAGTTTAAAAACTAATAATACTCAATGAATAAATACTGAGATTATTTTTTGGACATAAATCAGATTTTCAGAGTAAGTGCTGTTAGCCAACTTGATCTTCTTTTAAAGTTCAGTTCTATCTAAAGTATACAACTCCCCAGGATGCAACCCACAACAGTAAACTATCACCCAGGTACCTACTTACTGCTAGGTGAACAAGAGCATCGTGTAAGGAAATATACCTAACATTTTTCCCATGCCGAACACTCAGTATGTGAGTGCGCTGTCAACCCAGCCACAGGACACATATTTCTGATCATAAAAGACATTTTCCAGCTATATCACGTAAAGAAATTCGAATAATTGATGTTCTTATATTAAAACTTAATCTGTAATCAAAGCAAAAGCTCCTTTGAAGAAAACACATCAGCACTGGAAGTTGAAAGTCGACCAGGGGAGACAATCTTCAGTTATTGGCTCAGAAACCAACAATCTGTACAGTTACACATCCTAAAGCCAGGAAATTTTTACATTTGTTTCATAAGATGAATCAGCCATTAAAGACTGATGCTGTTCACAACAGTTTTATTTTAATCAGGGGAAAGTACTGAATGGAAGCATTCAGGTTAGAGCCAAGGAAGGACAAAATAAGTCCAGCTCCATCGATCACCTGCCCTCAACAGCTTCAAGGCAAAATAACTCATTAATGTAGTTCCGAGATTAAAAGTAGCAAAATAGCATCTTCAAACTCCATGAACAATACCATGATAAGTAGGTTACAGGTTTTGTTTTTAATGTTTGGATAATCAGAGGAGGTTTTCTCTAATTATCGTACTGACACATAATCTGGGAATGGCTATTGTAACAGAGACTCACGACAGAAAAACTCATGAATGTTTCACTAGATACATTTCATTAGTTGCTGAAATTTGATGGTGATCGAAGAAATTTTTACAAAGAGAAAAGAAGAAAATGCTTCGAAAATAGGAAAGACTATCCTCGTTAAATTTAAAAAGCCCATAAAATTCGAATTCAAGTTTTTTCAATTTCTTTTCTTAATTAAACTACTCATATTCATTACAATCCAGTAAGGCAAAATATTTGATTTTTGTTTTTAGGAAAATTTAGTTTGATAAAATTGATTTAAGAATTAGTCAGAGTGGCACCTCAGCCCAAAATCAATATACAAATAATTTAATTTATGATATACAAGCGTTTAGGGTTTGAAGCCGAGCACTGAGGCATTCTCTAGTTACACAGCTCAAAGTGAACGACAACATTTCGTTTAATATAGCCTACTAAGGGAGAAAGTTTGAAGACGATCACTAAAGTGATCTGATTTCAACGATTCCAATTTTTTCAACAATTTCGATAAAATTTCAAATTTTCACTGACTCATACTAAACTTACAGTGTATTGTCGTGTTTACAGAAAACATCATTATTAATATTTTGAAATTCATAAGAAGAAACATTCTTAGTGAAATTGACAAATTGGGACTGCAGTGATAATCCTGCATTCCTGCTAAATCAACAAGGTCGATCGGAAGAATTTACTTTAATAGCTCAACTGATGCTGTGGAGAAGCATAAGAAAGTTGATAGGGCAATCTGGGAGGATTTTCGTACATCCAGCCCCCCAATCCTAACTCATTTGTCTCTCAGCCTTAGTGTAGAGAGGACAACAGTGGAGGTACTCTCTAACCCCTGGTGGCAGGCGGCAGTACTTTCATAATGGCGGAAGGTGGACGTAGACGTATCAACACTGTCTTGAACTTGTGAACGGCTCGCTCAATAGTCAGAACACCCAACTTTTGCTGACGGCGATGTTAAGAGACACGTATGGCATCGCAAATGAGGAGCTCTATGGCGTGTCGTTGAATGGTAGTTCAAGGCTTTTCGTCAAATTCCGGCAGAGCAGCACTTATGAAAATACGGTGGCCAGGTACCAGGATGTGGTTAAGCCGGTTAACCCTGGTGTTAATGTCCGCCTCTATGATGTATCACGGTTTTACACTTGGATCAAGGTGCGTAATGTTCCTTTTGAAGCTGATGAGAGTGATTTAAGGAACGTTTTTGGGCGTTATGGTAGGATACATTTGGCGACATTGGGACGTTGGCATGATGGACAGCTTGTTGGTATGCCAGAAGGGTCTTTTTCCCTTAAAATGTCCCTAAAGCACCCTATACCATCGTACGTGGTGATGGAGGACTTCCATACTCAAGTCTTCGTTACGTACACGGGTCAGAGGCGTACGTGTGGACTATGTGGGACATATGGCCACATCGTGGCGCAATGTCCTACGCGACAAGGAAGATCAACGGATGATACAAGGACTGATGATGCAATAAAGCAGCAAACATACGCTACGGCAACGCAGCATGAGTCTCTAGCATGGGAGACCTGGAGTTGGAGAGGACGTAGGCTTGGTGTCGGCGATGAGAGAGGAGGATTCTGTAATTGCTCAAGATGTAATGGAGGCATCCATTCAGGAGCTTCCATGAATTGCTGGACGTTTCGGCATCTGCGATGATCCATGCTGGGTTGGAAAAGGAGGGTGTAGAGGCAAGGGCAGGAGGCCCCAACGGGCAGGTCGCGTGTGTTGTGGAAGCAGAACAGGTTGTAGTAGTGGACGTCCACAGGGGTAACAGTCTAGAGGAGGCTATGGTTGCAGATCGTAGCTCTCACAAGACAGCTGCTGTGATAACCATAATGATGACGTTCTGACTCCTGGGCAAAGGTCTGGGAAAAAAGCATGGCACGATATGACCCGTAGAGGTACGGGTGGAACAAAGTGTGTTGAGCATGTGAAAGAGGAAGGCACAGGGGGGGTATGGGGGGAGAGGTGGGGGTGCTCGTCTAGGATCTAAGAGTGTTAAGGCAAGCCTCCATTGAATCCTTCAAATGTATTACTTTAAATATTAACGGGTTGAAGTCAGTAGACAAATGTAAGAGTCTGGAGGTGTTTTTAAAGAGATATGTACCTGACGTTGTGTTCCTGCAAGAACACAATTATAAATCATTGGGAGAGTTAATGATTGATGGATACGATGTGTACATGGGTTGCTCTGTACGATTGAAAGGTCGTGTGGCATTGTTAATTAAAGAAGCTAGCTCGTTTTCTCTGCAAAGATGTGAGGTAGGGGAGGAGGGGTGGGTGGTTCGGGTGGATGGCGCATGGGGTGGGGTTCAAGTGGGTTTCATAGAGGCGTATGGGCCTGCAGAAGGAGACATGGGCGTCAAAAATAGGTTCTTTAGGGACGTTCTTGTTTACCATTTAAGATCACTGTCAGTCATAACGATTCTAGGAGGTGACTGGAACTGTATTGTTCGTCGTAAGGACGTAGAACCTAGAAGAAGGTTTTTTTTCGGGGTATTTAGGGGATCTGTTGCGAGGTGTGAATGTAGTGGACGTGGGAGGGGAGGAGGTGGGTGGGGTCATGCATATGTTCATTAGGCGCGATTATGCAGCGAGGCTGGATCGAATCTATGTTTCTCGGGGGGTGAGGGTAAGCAGCGTTTGTGCATTGAATGTGAGCTTCTCTGATCATAGAGGGGTTCTGGTGGACTTGGATTGGGAGGGAATGCCAAAGCATTTCAGGGGTTATTGCGCAAAGGGGGTGGGAGGGAATCTTTGAGAGTGCTTGGAGGAGATGGTGGGCAGACGGTTGTGGGGGGGTAGACATCCTTGAGTGGTGGGACATGGTCGGTAAGGGAAAGGCGAGGGATTTTTATCAGAAGCAGGAAAGGGAAGAGCGATTTCAATATGGTGTTTTACATTACCTTGAAGGTCAACTGCAGGAATGCTATATGGGAGGGGGGGAGGGGTGAGTATCTGGCTGAGATTGAGGGTTTAAAACAACTGATTAGGGACATTCAAAATCCTGAATTTGATGCGGCATGAATCGCGAGAGGAATCGATGAGGTTTTATGGGGCGACTGTCCTTCGGCATATATCTTGAGAGAGCAGGGAAAATGCCGCATGGCGACAGAAATAATGAGCTTAAGTGTCCAGGAGCAATTGGAGGGGTATCGTCAGGGGCAGTTGCTCATGTCAACAGAGGGTATGGGTTGCTACGTGGATGCAT